TTCCCCTCGGTTACCCCTTTTTTCTCCCTATTCCTCCCTTCCATCTACCTACAAGAGCGCCCTCCCCCCACCTCTCCTCCCCTGCTCCCCCTTACCCTCTATCCCCCCCCCCCACCTCTCTCTCTTCCAACTCCCCCCCTGCTCCCCCCTACCCCCCACCCCTAACCCCCTATCCCTTCCCTTCCCACGACCTGTAAGAACGTCCCCTTTATCTTCCACTTCCTTGCTCCCCCTCCCCCCCTCACCTCCCTCCCCCCTCCCCCCCTCCCCCCCTTATCCCTCCTTATCTCACGCCTGGGTTCCCGCCGCCGCCGACCCGTGCCGTAGACCAACACGGTAACGCGCCGGAACACACACACACAGACGGGCGTGGTGGTCCGTCCGTCTTTAGAGAGAGCGTCCGAAGTCATTTGTCAAAGTCGAAGTGAGAGATTCGCTTGAGTTGTAGACGAGGGGTGAACGCTTTATTTCTTTTTTTTTTCTTTCTTTTTTTTAGGATTTTTTTTTTTTTTTTTGTTAGTATTTTCTTCGTCCCCGTCATCTTCGTCTCCATCTCGATCCTCGTCTTCATCGTCATCTTCCTCATCCTCATCCTCTTCATCCTCATCGTCGTCATCGTCAATGTTACTGTATTTCTATGTTTAGATGTATTTATTTTTAGCATTTGTATCTATCCGTTCCTTTGTTGAATTTTAGCTGTGTGTGTGTGTGTGTGTGTGTGTGTGTGTGTGTGTGTGTGTGTGTGTGTATGTGTGTGTGTGTGCGTGTGTGTGTAGTTGTGCTTGTACGTGTGTGCGTGCGCGTTATCGAAAATCCACCCATATGGTGATGTCAGTGACTTCTTTTAACTGGTTTCATCTGCTCTCAATGTGTAGATAGCATTAGAATCTTATTCGCATATAAATAAAGTACAATTGCAATATTGACTTTGAATTGCATTTTTATGTTTGTCACGCCTCGACTTTACATTCCTTGTGCAATGAAATTTTGTTGTTTTATCTCTTCCTCGTTTGACGTCTATGGTGTGAAAATTGTATGAGATGAATTCTGATTTTTTGCTTCCATTGCTTATACATACATACATACACCCCCGCACCCCCACCCACCCACACACACATAAACACACACACACACACACACACACACACACACACACACACACACATACACACACACACACACACACACACACACACACACACACACACACACACATATATGTATATATATATATATATATATATATATATATATATATATATATATATATATATATATGTATATATATATATATATATATATATATATATATATATATATATATATATATATATATATATATATACATTTACATACTTTTTGTGCAGGTTTTGGCATGTAATGATGTTAAAAAAATCTTTCTCATTTTTAGACGTTTATTAGCCTGGCCACTATCCATCCCATTTTGCCGTATTCTACAATTTAGCCCGTTCTTTTTACTTCCTTTTCCACATTTTCTTATTCTTTCCCATCCCCTCTATTCTTTTTTTTCTTCTTTAATATTCTTACTTATATATAATCTCACTCTCTTCTATAACATTGCTTCAAGTAACTAACGGAATATATGTGTTTCTTCTCCTCATTCATTTTATTATAGACCATTAACTGGCCTTCTGATGCCTGAGGATGTCTTGCGTTTCCTCGACTAAAGTACCAAGTACATCTACCATTAAGTAACCTCCTAGCTCCACTTCTAAGTTCCCCACAACCGCTACCATTCAGGCAACCAATACCACGTCCACCTACCATTCTATAACTTCTAAGTTCCCCACTACCACTCACTGCTACCGAAAAGAGCTACCATTAAATAACCTCCAAGTTCCCACTCCGTCAAAAAACTACTACCACTACCATCCATCAACCACTAAATAACCTACCAGTTATTCCAGGTTCCTCTCCCCCCGCTTACCATTCCATGCTACCAATACTACGCCCACCTACCTAAAAAAAAGAAAAAAAACCCAGCCTCCATGTTCCACCTCCTTTACCCCTAATAACACCTTGAACCACGCCTTCATCACTTCTTCCACGCCGACCTCAAACCGTGCATCTTCGGCCATCGTCATTATGGTGAACGTTTAACCCTCCATCACCATTACATCATCCACTTCCCGTGATTTTTCCCACTATCATCAACACGTACACGCATCCTCATCAACGTGGCTGCTACAACTTTGCCTCCTGACATCGCGCTCTTATCTTTTTGCGAATCTGAGGGGCTGTTGGGATTTGAACTTCTGAATGAATGCGGGTTGTCCACATTTGAAAGATGTTGATTGTGGTCTTAATTCAGTGTTTTTTTGTGTCAGCTTGTTTTGAGAGAGACAGAGGGAAGGAGGGAGAGGGAGAGAGAAAAAAAAGAGAGAGAGAGAGAGAGAGAGAGAGAGAGAGAGAGAGAGAGAGAAAGAGAAAGAGAAAGAGAAAGAGAAAGAGAAAGAGAAAGAGAAAGAGAAAGAGAAAGAGAGAGAGAGAGAGAAAGAGAAAGAGATAGATAGATATATAGATGATAGATAGATAGATAGAGAAAGAGAGGAGACCGTTGATCAGAATGCACTTGTTTCGCTGTTTGCGTTCGTGCACTAGCAGTAGGCGAGCTTCACATTGCCGGCTGCATTCGTGACTGTGAATGCACTTCCATGTTAAGTCAAGACGTATGAATGAACTTAGATAATAGACAGCTTGTGTGAGGGTTTCGTGAAGAGAAACTTCTCTTGATGAAGGGAAAAGATGGGAAAATAGTAGACGAAAACATATTGTAAAAATGAGTTATTACAACATCTAACCTAACAGACAAAATAGAAACTGAAAATAAATAACCCTCCCTAGACATAACTGAACAAATCCGTTAAACCGTCAGTGGTTTCATTTCAAATTCAAATTCAAAATGAGCGTTAGGGATGCACCGGCGCCGAGCGATGCCCCCTGCGGATTCTCTCCTTGTCTGCCGGCATCCGTGAGTCATCTCCCACGGAAGAGAGATGCTCCGGAGGCTGGAAGCGGCATCTCCCCGGTTTCCGTTTGGCGGTCTGTCGAGACATGCAAGAAAACCCATTTAAAAATGTTGAGGGTGATGTTTTGGCGTTTTGTTCTTTGGCGGCCGAAAGCTACATAAAAAAACCGTGAATAATTTCCTAAGAAACGTTATAATAACAGGAGTGTTTGTGAGTTACGACGTCAAAAGTCATTAGATGAAAGACTGTGGATATTAGATGATGGCGTGGAAAGGGAGTTGTACAGGCTTCTTTTATTTATTCCTTTAGTGCCACGAGTTAAAAGCAAATTGGGATCGTGAGCTCGAGATTACAATTACAGAGCCCGTCGTGAGTAATAAAGACTGTAGTGATATAAAGCACTTGCTGAGACTGATTGTAAAGTTTGTATGTCACGCATCTAGAGACCGTATCGTTGTGGTCTGTCACATTTATAGCACAACAGATCTTTTGTACAGTTTAAAGCTCAGTTTGAGGCAATGACCTTTCTTCACTGTTAGCAAATACGATTGGAATGCAAATAGCTATCTGTACTTTGAAGATGAGGATGATTTTGATGGATGTTACTATAGGCGATATCATGGAAATATAATACAGGACTGTAATAGATTGCTGAATTAGGGTTAGTAATTAACGTGTTATGATTTGTAAAGAAACCCAATTTTTTGAAATACTGTGTTATTTCGGAATTTAAACTGGATCAGGAAAGAATCAAACACACACCGTAGAAAGAAAAAAAAATCACGTTAAATTATAACATAAAAATATTTCACAAGATAGAAAATGATAATAAAAAAATCCTTCTACAAAATAAAGACCCAAACCTACTAAACAACATCAACAACCACACACACACACACACACACACACACACACACACACACACACAAACACAAACACACATACACACACACAAACACAAACACACACGCACACAAACACACACACACACACACAAACCAAAAACCAAAACCAAAAAAACACCGCCACCATTCTTTCCTCCCGCACATCAAACATTTCCCCCGAAGAGATACAGCCGCGCAAGCAAGGGATCGAGTCAAGAACTTTAACTTCGGCCTGCCTTTGTTACGTGTCACCTTGAGAACTTGCGAGGTACGTGGTGCAAACATGGGTATTGTTAGCCTCATTCGCAGGCGGGGGGTTTTCGAAGGAAGAATATGTTTCAAAAGAACGGGAGAGAAAAAAAAGAGAGAGAAGAGAGAAAAAAAAGAATTGTGTGTTGGTGGAGTTTTGAATCTTTCTAATGGGTAAATGTACGAGTTTTTCTTTACCTTTTAGGGGGGGGGGAGGAAGAGTTGATTGAGGTCGAAGAGAAGATAACAAAAGACAGAAAGAAGATAGAAAAGAAAGAAAGAAAAGAAAGCGGGAAGAAAGTAAACACAAAGAACGGAGTAAATGGAAAGGAAAGAAAAATTTTAAAAGCATGAATAAGTGTATGCATACGTGCTCTTAAACGGTGGTCCTGTTTGACCGTCTCTTTTTAATATTATTTTCTCTTATAAGTGCGCCCAAGTGAAAAAATGGCGTTTGCGTTCTTTCAAGTAGCGCTGTTACAGTTAGCAAATATTTCCTCAAGCGACACAAGAATGTCCTTTCGTATAATAACAACAGCTGTATTTGTTTTATTCAATAACAAAGGAAGAAAATGTGTTTTAAATCAAGGTTTTATATATCTCCAGTGACATTAGTGATATTTTCATCATTGTCTTTACCATTATCATTATCATCGTATTTTAGTAGGTATTTGCATTGTGATGACCATCATTAACATTATTTCTGGTCGTATCTTCACGCTCACCATCTTCAGTAGGAACCATATCATCACTATCACCATCACCTTCACCATCACTTCGCACAAAGAACTCATTCCCTTCATAGAATCATCACCATCACCTTACCTGCTGTAACTAACCACCGGCATTCTCTTCTCCCCCCCCCCCCCCCCTTCAGACAAGGTGTGCAACCGCCCGTGGACCTTCGAGCGAGTGCCCAACAAGATGATCAAAGGCCTCGACAATGCAGAGATCTTCACCTCGTCGAAGGAAGGCTGTTTAGCGTCCTGTTTGAATGAGGTAGGTTGCGTGCTCCAAGATTTGGAGGTTGGGGGATGAAAACTTTTTTTTTTTTTTTTTTTTTTTTTTTGATGATTTCTTTTTGAATGTCGGTCAGAGTTTGTTGTTGTTTGTGGTTGGGGTTCTCGCTCGTGCTGTTGTTATTATCTGGTGTAGCTGTCATTATTGTATTTGGAGCTTTTATTCGTTGCTTCTGGTCCGATTCTCTTAGTCGTGTCTTGATTTCCCGTACTCACTACATTTGACTCATTCACACTTGTAAATTACACAATATTCACCCCAACTAACACACACACGCTCATCACACCGAAGGTAATTATGCTCCATCACTCTTCTCTCTCCTGGACATTCAGTACCGTACTTACAAATCATCTTCCCTGCTCCAAGTATCATTCGTCACTTCCGCTGAAGTTTTTCTCTGTCAAGTAGATTATAATGCATCTCTCCCTTTGGAATTAAAGTAACTGATTTATTGGCGATGTTGCGGTCATATGATTGGTTTCCTTCACCCTGGGGAAAGGAAGGGGTTTGCGGTTATTTTCAGACGTTTCTGTACCAGTTGACTGCTATTACACACATAAAATATATATGTGTGTGTGTTTGTGCATGTGTGTGTATATTAATACACACACACACACACACACACACACACACACACACACACACACACACACACACACACACACACACACACACACACACGCACACACACGTACACACACACACGTACACGCACACACACACACACACACACATATACAAATATATACATACTTATATATACATGTATACACACACACACACACACACACACAGATATAAATATAAATATATATATATATATATATATATATATATATATATATATATATATATATATATATATATACATATATATATATCAACTGCACCTGCTGTTTATCTGGACGAAAACGGCAAGATAATAATGATAATAACGATGATGACGATCGAGCTGACGGGCGGAGAGGCTGGTCGGGTTGAGCACCTAATGGCTGCCGGCTAATTTTCAGGTCGTCTTTGTTATGTTCCCCGAGGCCTGTTTATGCGCATTTATTATCTTTGTACAATATATACAATACGTATATTAATGTAGGTTTCCTTTTCTTTACTTCTTTTTTTTTTCTTCTGTTTCAGTCAGGAAAAATATCATGCTATGTAAAATGACTGGAAATTTAATGTCTATCTGCTAAGAACGATTCAGAGAAAGTAAAATCGCGAAATGAGAACAACTTTAAGCAAATAGCTGCAGTGATGAGTTCCCATCTCGTGACCCTATTCAGTTTTCCATACAACTTTCAACCATATTTTAGTTTTTTTTTCGGCCTGTGATCCTCCGTGATTCCCTATACTTATTTATTGTCTCAATTCCCTTAAAAAAACAACATCATTTAATCCCGTTTCCCTCTGCAGGTGAGGTTCACCTGTCGAAGCGCCGAATACAACTACGTGACGCTCCAGTGTTCCTTGAGCGAGTACGACCGGCGCTCCGTCGAGGACACGATCGAGATGGTGGATGTTCAGGGAGTCGACTATTTCGAGAACCTTTGCGTCCAAGGTGAGTTTGAGGCTTTTTTTTTCATCCTCTTTGTTGTTCGTTCTTCTTGTTGTTTTGTTGTTTATTTATTTTTGGTTGTTTTTTTTCGCTTTGTTTTCCTTTTGATTTTTTGTAATGGCGTGGCCTCCATTGCTTCGAGAACCTAGTGAGTTTTGCGCAAGGCGATGCTTGACTTTATTTCTACTTTTATTATACTTTTTTTTGCGTGCGCGTGATTTCAATGACCTGCACGTGTTTGAGAATCAACACCGTGACATCGAGGCGGTAACGTCTTCAATAAAACGACGGAAGAAGCATAAAAAAAGAAGAAAGAAGAAGAAAAAAAATTAGCTCGTCACATTACAAAAGTACAGCCAGTGTCGTGTTTGCGGTCAAGTGCTTCGCTTCGCTACTGTCGACAGGGGGATTGGTCTTCTTAGAATATTTTAGGGGTTTTTGCACTTTAATGTCTTCTTGTTGGAGGGGGGGGGGGGGTAGGGAAGATCTGAAGTCAGGGAGGGGAGGGGGGGGTTGAGGACAAGGGGGGGAGGGGGTTGAGGACAAGGGGAGGAGGGGGGTTGAGGACAAGGGGGGGAGGAGGGTTGAGGACAAGGGTGGGAGGGGGGGTTGAGGACAAAGGGGGGGGTGAGGACAAGGGAGGGAGGGGGGGTTGAGGACAAGGGGAAGAGGGGGGTTGAGGACAAGGGGGGGAGGGGGGGCGTTGAGAACAAGGGGGGGAGGGGGGGCGTTGAGGCCAAGGGGGGACGGGGGGTTGAGGACAAGGGGGGGAGAGGGAGGGGAGAGGTCAAAGTATCCTTTCGCCGGACATTGCTATCCTGTCATCATGTTACTTTACATTCCGGGGAGAAATTCGTGGTCAGAGGAAGTTCTATTTATGGCTTTATTTTAGCTTTAAGACTGTGATATCGGGTGTAAGTGGACGCGGGAGAGATAGACGCTGCAACGTATGCGGGTACACGTATATGTACATACACACATACATACATACATGCATATATACATACATACATACATACACACACACACACACACACACACACACACACATACAAACATACACACATACATACATACACACATACACACATACATACATACACACACACACACACACACACACACACACACATACATACATACATACATACACACATACATACACACAAACAGACACACACACACACACACACCAAGGAAGAAGAAAAGAATATAAAAATAAGACAACGAATACTGGACATACTAAAATATCCGGCAGACCCCCCCCCCCTCCCAACCTTTCCCCTCTCCCTCCCCCCTTTGTCTCACCTACCCCCTCCCTCCGCCCTCCGCCCACCCTTCCTAGCCATCTAACCTCCCCCTCCCCCCCTCATCTCATATACACCCCCCCTATCCTTTACTTCATCTTCGTTCCCCTTCCTTCATCCTCCTTATTATCTCCTATCCCTCTTCTCATCTTCGTCCCCCCTTCTTCTTCCCATCATCTCACTTACCCCCTCCCCTCCCCCCACCTCTCCATCTCATTAACTCCATCATCTCTCGATCTCGCTAAACTCCACTCCCCCCCTTCCCCTCCCCCATCTCTCCATCTCACCTACCTCCTCTCCTTCACCTGATTCACCCCCTCCCCCCCACCTCCACACACACACACACACACACCTTTATACTCCATCTTCCTCCCCCTCCCCCCCCCACCCACCTCCACACACACTCACACACTCTTATACTCCATCTTCTTCCTCCCCCTCCCCCCCTGCCCCTCCCCTATTCCGTCCCTGGGAGAGGAAGACGGCTATTGAACGCGTTGCAGAAGGTTTACCAATATTGTGTTCCGCTCTGGTAAATCTCTTCAGTCTGCAAGAACATCATTTATTCTTGGAAAATATCGAGCGTATATTTTTTTGTGTGGCGTTGTATCCTCGCAGTTTTGTCTCAAAAAAGAAAAAAAAATATATATATAAGGAATTGAAATGTCTTAGAAAGAATAAAGACTCTTGAAATAAAGATGATTTTCCGTCTTGTCTTATATTGGCAATACGAGAGACGAGGTTAGTAACGAAAACAGAAAAACAACAACGATGATAATAAGAACGCCAACAGCAATAAAATCAGCAGCAAAATACAAGGACAGCAGCAGTAAAGATGATAATAATGGTAATAAAAGTTTTTTACCGTCGCCATTACCATTATTAGTAATCACAGTACCAGTGGTGTGGATAACAGAAAAAACAACAGTACCACCCCAAAAATAATTAAGATAAAAAAGGTGTTTTAATAATGATAATAATAGTAATAGATAATAATAATAATAGAGGAAGGAAGAACTCTCTCTCTCTCTCTCGTCACATTCATACACACACCAAAAAAAAAAAAAAAATAAAAAGTAAAGACATAACAATAAAAGATACAAAATAAAAACTAGAATAGTGAGCGCTCGACCCTCCTTCTTCGCGTTCCGAAGCCAAGCATCATAATATAACAGAACGACAATAATAAAGATAAATAAAATAAACACGAAAATAGAGCGCGCCCTCCTCCCCCTCCCCCCCTTCAGCGTGCTCCGAAGCCAAGTAGGTCCGGCGGTCATTGTGTCTCCTCGGCCGGGCTTTCGCTCAAGTGCACCTCCCTCGCTCACGCTCTCGGAATGTCCATCTCTCTCTCCGGATATCGGGCGACGCCATTAGTTCGAGCAGTGCTTGGGCATCGGCCGTTGTGCTTGAGTTATTTAGGTGATTTTCTCTTGTACCGTTCTGGCTGGGCGATGCTTTCGTTTGTAAGTTTGGAATACACATGAATTGCATCAGCACACATACACACACGCGTGCAAACACACACGCACGCGCGCAGACACACACAAACGCGTGCAAACACACACGCGCACACACACAAACACACACACACACACACACACACACACACACACACACACACAAGCGAACATATCGAACACTGAAACAATAAACAACACAAACACAGACTCACAGACAGCGAACTCACAGACGACGCTACACACAAACCTCACCCAATACAAACGACATTAAAACACACACACACACACACACACACACACACACACACACACACACACACACACACACACACACACACACACACACACACACACACACACACACACACCACACACCCCCCTCCATTGAAATCATCTCCGGGGAACACAGAAATCACCGAGGTTCCCCAATTAACGCAGCGGTACACGTGATCCACCCACCCTGCCTGCGCCCCCTCCCCCCCTCCACCCCGAGGTCTGTTTAGCATGACTCCGCCTTCCTTGTCATGTCATTTAG